CCAGGCCCCGCCCCTGCATCCCAGGCCCCACCCCCTGTGTCTCAGGCCACTCCCACACCCCAAGCCCCTCACTAGCTGGGGAGGAGCCAGTGGGCCGCTGCTGACGCGGGGCTGTGCCTGCAGAACAAGCATTGCCTGCTGGAGGCCGGGATCAGCTGCACGCGAGACCTGATCAAGTCCAGGATCTACCCCATCGTGCTCTTCATCCGGGTGTCGGAGAAGAACATCAAGAGGTTCAGGTAGGGCTCCGAGACCCCCGGGCGCCCTAGAGCACCCCCTCTCCTCCCGCCCACTGCCACGCCTCTGGGGCTCCCACCCAGAGCAGCCGGGCGTCTGGCGGGAGGAGAGGCCAGGGCGTGTGCAGTTTGTCAAAGGCGGGGCGGTGGGGTCTGAGAGGAGAGGAGTCGGGATGAGGCTGAGGTTTGGGGCTCGGTGGGGACACGCATCACCTCTGACCCCCCCCTCTCCTCGCACAAGACCGAGACCGAGACAGAGAGCCGAGGCCACTACACTCTGTCCCCAGATGTTTGGGGGGCGCCTGTTAAGTGCCAGGACCTAGGGGACCCCTGAGGGAGCAGATGAGACCAGAGTCCCCACGTGACCACTTCACACACCCCAGGTGGCCCTCATCCAGAGCAGACCCCACAGCTTGCCGTGGGGACGGGATGGTGTGGCCGCTGCGGGAAACATGATGGAGGGCCCCCAAAATTAACACCACCTCCAGGGACCCCACAACCCCACCCCTGGCCACAGCAGGGCCGGGCAGGTGCTCACCCGCCCACGGATGGGCCAAGAGCCAGCGAAGCGGGGCCTATCCATGCAGTGGGATGGTTGTCACCCCTGACGTGGGGGCAGGGGACCCTGTTTCCAGGGCCGTTGGATGTGTCGCACATCATCCTCGGGCCACACAAAATTGCCAGCTGAAACATTAGCCTGCTCCGTTAGCCAAGCATTTAATCACTCGCCCCTCACGCCTGGGCAGGGCCAGAGCAAAGGACTTCAGGGGCCTTGCCCATCCCGCGGCCGATGTCCCCCCCCCCCTGCTTTCAGGGGAACGGAGCTCTGACACATGAAACATGGACACTGTGCGCAGAGGACGCACACTGTGTGACTCGCCTACACGAGGCCCGGAGGAGTCACGTTCAGAGAGACGGGTGGAGGGGCCAGGGGCTGGGCGGGGAGTGAGTGTTTAATGGGGACAGACGCTCAGCTGGGGCGATGGGAAGTTCTGGAGATGGGGGTGTGACGGTTGCACAGCGTGTGAGTAAACTTACCGCTGAGCTGTGCACGGAGGAAGAGTTACGATGGGAGGTGTTATTTCTCTGTACCTGACCACGTGGAAAAGTAAAAAGAAAGGGGGTTTTGAATGCCCACCTCTTGGGATTTCCATAGAGCAGAGCAGAAGGGCTCAGTACGCCGTGTGCGAGAGGCAGCAGCCGCTGCGGACAAACAGCCAGGGAAGGGGTGGTCGGCAGGGTGGGGACGGGTGGCCCCCAGCAGGGGCGGCTGGGCTGGACAATGGTCGCACACCCCGGGGCCTGCAGCCTCTCCCCAGCCCTGCGCCCGCCCCGCAGGAAGATGCTGCC